TTAGACTTAAGAATTTTCTATACCAGAATGTAATCTGCACGATGCTAATTCTTATGTGAAGAATATATAATTGCAATGGTCAAAGAACTTGGAAGGCTAATAAAAATTCGGATGACCGATTGAAGTCCAAATAAAAATGTCTGTCAGTGATGCTACATTTCATTTCGTCGGCTAGTAGTTGGAGTATCGCATACTAAAACATCGACACGGCGATTGATCGAATCGTTTGCTGCTTGCATAAGCGCGGCCTTGGATCCGGAAGAATAAAACATTATTGACATATAACATATGGAAGGTTTTATGTAAGAACGAATTGATACACCTCTCCCGTGTCTAATATAGTCTCTTTCCCGCGAATAAAAACAACGGCAATTTTCAAAAAAATATATAAGTAGCGTAATCACACGTCCGACTTTTGCAGTCACGCGCTACCGTATCGCGGAAATTGCAAACTAGCTGCTCACGTTGAAGAACGAAATTCGCATCGCTGTTCTCCGGTGTTGTTTACGGGTAACTTGAACGAATAATATTTTATATACGTTTAGTTATAATACACGTCATTAAAAATAAATGTTTGTGTTTAGGGAAAGTGTTTGTAGATCTTTAACTCAATTGTGTACTTCAACAAAATGTATGAATTTTATATGAATTTTGTGAAAATAATCTCGTCGTCGGAGATGAATATCGAATTACCGTTTGGAAGAGACAAGTTTTCATTTGTGAAGTTTGAATGAAAATTTTGCAAAATCTCTTCTACGAATGTTTTCAAAATCGCATAAAACATAAGGATATGTTGATCTGAAAATATTTTATAGATACAGATAAGAAGTGTGCTATTTATATAAATTTTTGATATAAGACCGACAAAAAAGTTTGTGAAATAATTCATAATCTTAATATCATAGTAAAAACTGATGTGTTTTAAGAATGAAGAAATCGTCAAAATTTTAAGTTGAGTTAAATTTCTTGATCATAAACTTATACTCATATTTATTCGTATCACACAAAATCACGAAATGTTCATTGAGCACCGAAATTAATTTTATTCGATAATTGATAATATTTTCTTATATAATATTTAGCTATTTCTGAAAAAAATTACACAACTTTAATAACTAATATAAATTTTGAATAAAATTAAATTTTAAAATTATTTGTTGGAATATCTCTGAAAATTTACCATTATAAGCAACTGCTTATCCTCGCTATATCTGCATATGCCTTTGAATAAGTATAAAAAAATTAAATTATTAACGCAAAAATGATCGATTAATCAGAGTATAAAGATTATCGTACGATGCTAATCAGCATTCGTGCGAATTACACCACGCGTTATGCTGTTCGTACAAAAAGCAAAGTATCGTACGAAGGTCATCATCGCTAATCGTTCGCTGCTCGTTCGCCGTCTCGCTCGCGTTATGCGTCGTCATGCGGAGGCTCGCCCGGAGGCTTGACCAATCACGTCGTAGAAAGGCAGCCATATGAACGACCTCGCCGACTCTCATATATTTAACATTATCGCTACTTTCCTCCAAGATTTAACGGTCAATTAGAAAATTCTTGGAATGAGAAGGGATTCGCGTGTCGTTTAAGTCGGCAGTCGTGGAATTTTAACTTGACGGTAAATAAATTCCTTCAGTGCCCCTCCGGCGCGAATGGGCGTGTAACGCGGTGTCATCATCGTACGACGCTTGTCGTATATTTCACGGGTCTGTTTTTCCTTGTAAGATTGACTCAGCCTTCGTAGAATCTAAAATGGGATATCTCGCGATCCTAAGCAATATCGCGTGACGATTGCATTTTAGGATTGTAAAAATTTCACATGATTTCATGTGACAAACGTATCTCTTCACGTATCTAATAGAAGCAATTGAAATTTAAAATTAAAAAAAAAAAGAATATTGTGAAATAAACCTACATTTTAAATTATAATCTCCGAAGAAAAAGTAAATATGGAAAACCTATGAACACATTTAAGAATCTTGGAGAGAAGAGCACCTTTGATTTTAAGCAATCGTAAAAATTACATTATCAAAGAAAATAGCAATATATATATATTATTTAAAATATACGCTTGCTGTTGTGCAAATTTTATTTTTGAAATATAATTGCAACAACTTGCATTCGAATCTAAAGATTATAAAATTCCGGAATAAAATTTTATCGTAATATAAAAACGCATTGTTTAGAATATTAATTACATCGATAACAATAGTTTCTGCCATGGAATAATTCTATTGATTGACAGTCATAAATCTGCATCAAAGAATCTATGCAAGCAATTGCGAGCTGAAGAGAATCGATTCAGAATTGGAATGAAAAGGGAGGTCGGAATGATGCCTTTAGCTCGTTGACCCCATCGCTTTCTATCAAGAAACATCAACGCGCGCGCGCGCGCGCGCGTAATCGGCTCCGTCGCTCGAATCATAAATTTTTTATTAACATATACAAATGAGAATAAAAAATTGTATTCGTCAAATATATGTGTGTAAACAAATATTTAATGTTTTATTTTCCAACTGCCGACGGTCTCGTAAATTTACCACAGGTAACTTTTTGTTATCATTAACTTCGGAAATGATACCTATATTGCATCAGTTTGGATATTTGACTTCTAAATTTCTTTTAATTAAATTTTACAATAAATATTTTTTTAATTATCAAAAACTTATTTGAGGTAACATCGAAACAACATTGGAACAACAAATCGAATATCTGTCTGATTTTTTTGAAGAATGAATGAAGTGTACAACAACTATTTTTCTCTTTCCATTAGAATTCCGCTAAGGTTTCTTCAACTTTCTGATTATTATTTAAAAAGAAATAATTACACGACTGTTTCAAAATCGTCAAGAAAAGAAAAGAAAACAACAAGTTTCAAAGTATAAGATAAACAGAAAAAAGCGCCATGACAACTTCAATTTTTATTTTGCGATAAACTTGAGAAGTCAAATATATGAAAATTGTATTTCGAAATGTGGATTTCTTATGGATTTTTTCGAATAAATAAATTTATTATACATCTGTAACGGAAAAAATGCGACGTCCTTACAACAGACAGAATAGAATATCACGATTTGGCAAAAATTTAAGCAACGTCATTGCAATTGTGCAAATTGAGACGTAACGAACCAGCCTAAATTTTGAGGTTTACAGATAATGCAAGCAATCCAAATAACGATTCACTGTTTGGATGTCTAAAAAACAATAACAGATATTGCTAATTACGTACTTAAAACAACGCATTTTAATCGCAATTTAATTATTTTCTCTTTTTTAACTCTCGTTTTGACGGAAGGAATTAATTAAACTAACATTATAAATCGAGCAATTTTCATTAACTTTGGTGAATCTCGGTTTTTACAAAAATTTAAATCAGAGTAATTTGACTTTGCCGGCTTTAGCCTTGATTGTGACACCGCTTGCACTTTTTGTGAGTCGCGAGATAAAAATTGTCTCTGATGTAATGTTTGACAACAATACTTTCCAATTACTCGTTTTAGACATTGAAACCAGTCTGTGCGACGCACTTTGTACTTTGGACGGCGTAAAATTTGTACTACCGTGTAAAATAATCTTTGATCTGTGCGTTACTGCTGTCTCACTTTCGAATATTTCACGATCGATAAGAAGTTGTACTTTTCGTCTCTTATCTTTCGTTTGCAAATAATTTCGTGCTGTATATGAACATAATTTTTATGCACTCAAAAAAATATTTCGCTGATGTAGTTAGATTTCTAGATATCGCAACAAGAATGTATCGCTATTTTTCGTATCTGTGAAAACATTGTTTGTCACATATAGAATTTATAGCAGTAATGTTCTAGCAATAGCTTCTGAAAAATTTAGGTACCATTGCTAAATGTTATTCATTGCATGATCTAACACGTGATTGATCTTATATAGATAGGCGCTTTAGAGAAACTTTCTTTTAAAGTTCACAAACAATACAGATATATATTCTGTTTCTGTCATCTAAACTGATTAAGTAATTACATATGCAATATCACAACAGTTGCTAATCATTTATCT